ATATATGTGTGTAATATATCATTAGAGAGGTTAGAAATATTTTAACACTTATTTATAAATTATAAATCTAACGACCATCAATGTGACCTCTATGATCAACTAACTGAATGACTTTGTCAAGGAAGAGACAAATGATTTACTACTTCCTTTAACTACATTTGGAGTCTCTCTGTATGAGATGTGTATTCTGTGCAGTTTCCATTCTAAATGCACCCTGCACAAAACCATGCTATCTTCAAATGTTCAGAAGGAAAACCCCATGTTGTTGACTATCCATCTTCATTTCTGAAACAAACTTCCAGGCAGGTGTGTGGGTAATGGAAATGCCTGAATGATTTCAAGGTGTCTATTGTTACTATTTAGAATAACTAAAAAGTCATGCTCAAGAAATGTACTTTGGTGACCCTGTTGATGGGTGTTGAGTTTGAAGGGGTCTGATAGACACATGCTTCTTTCCTGCCTGAATTCTGCCCAACTGAGAAATTAGAAGGCAGAGGGAGGTCAACATGTTACATTTGCTACTAATGTAGCAGATAATGGAGAATGTGACTTCTATCTGCCAGGATATTACTAATACTGACCCCCAGAATTTAACTTAATTCATACCTTTTCAGGCAGAAGGGCACACCATAAGCTTTTTCTCCTGGAGTCAAATCAGTGTAAAACTTCAGCAATGAGAGAGCACTATGAACACCTGCTCACTTACACAGGCCAAATTCTCAAGAGCTATCTTCCCAAGAGGAATGGGTAGTCTCCAGTCAACCCATCCACACTCACAAATCATAATGAGTCATTCTTTTTCACCTTAGGATGAGATGGGGGTACAGAGGGTTAGATAGATCTGTTCCAGATAGAAGGAAAAACTTGGATCGGAAATAAGAATTCTACTGGGTTATCCCAGTGGCACTGAAAATGTGAAGAACTTTTGCTTCTTTGTAGTAAAAATAAAATTATATGTAGACTTAATCCCTGTGTCAAAAGTTTACTAAACATATGTGCACATGACTGTGTTCAATGTAGAGATGCATTTTTTAAAAAAATTAAGAAGTAAAGGGATATGATCAAGAGTCTGGTGGAATCAACAGACATAACTACCAGAGGATATGATTAAAGATATAACAGAATCACAAAAACCATATTCTATGTGAATACAGAGAAAGGAACCATAGAGGAAATTTCTAAATTCACTTATCCATCTACTTATTTATTCAACACCTACTCTATGGCAAGCTCTGCAACAAATAGAACCTTGAGTATACAATGGCAAACAAAGAAAACAAGCTCCTTCTACTGACTGAGTACACCTCTTCTTGTAGAGGCAGAAATGGACAAAAAAGTACATAAATACAAAAAAGTACATAAATAAATACATTCCAAACTGGAATATGTACTATAAAGGAAAAAATGCAAAGCCCTATTAGGAAAATATCAGGTTACATAATCACAGGGTAAGGGAGGGCTTTTCTGAGAAAATATTTCAACTGAGGTCGGTCCACCAACTAGGAGATAGGCAGGCTGACTGGTGTTCAGGTGTTCAGGTAATAACAGGAAAAGGAAAGGTAAAGCAACGCTGTAGAAGAAAATTTAAAGTGCTTGAGGGAGCCAAGGGATACAGGCCACAGTTGGAAATAACATCAGTGAGACAGTTGCAGGCCATACTGTGACGTCATACAGGCCATGCTAAGAACTTTAAGTTTTATTTTGTTCATTAAGAAGTCTGTGAGTGGTTTACTAAGAGGATAGACTGATACTGGATGGATGAGGGTGCAATGTGGATAAGGAGCAAGAAGAGAGGAGATTATCAGGCCATCCAGGTGTGATAGGGCAGTGGTTAGAACTGGGGTATTTGTGATGCAGATGGGGCAGGGCAGGACTCAAGATTTGGGAGGTTAAAGCCACAAAACTTGATGATAAATGGGTAGGCAGACAATTATAAGATTTGAGGACATTTCAAAAATGCCTGCTACATTTTAAATTTGAGCAATATCCTAATAAAAAATGAAATGTGAAAGGGCCTTGAGGATTAAGCTATACTTTGGCTGATAGAGAAGGCTACAGATTTATGAAGACCTGTGGCATAGAGAATTTCACAAACGGCACTCAGAGCACGAGGAAGCAAGGTATGTGACAGAAAGTGCAGGAAGAAAATGGATAGGCACAGATCAAGAAGACTTTGGCTTTCTGATAAGATATTTTTGATTTCCTTTGTTAATCGGAGCAGCATCCCTTCAGATCTATTTCTATGTTGATATTAAACTGTTAGAAATTCAGCCCTGGTATTAGGAAAGAGGGATTAGGCACAAAGATTTGAAAATGATCTGTAGACCACGATGAAACCCATTTGACCAGAGGAGAGAGCCCATGGAGAACGCAAAGGGAGACAACGATAAGCTTTAGGGAGCCTTTGCAATTAAAGGACTCCCCAGGAGAAAAACTAAAAGAACTTTGAAAAGTTTGATATCCTCAGGGAGAATATGAAATGGAAGTTAAATGGTAAGTGAAAACATAACTATAATTTATACCTAATAGCTATAGAGCATTTACTGTGTGCCGATCACGTTGTTAGGATATTAGGATTTTGTATATTATAAAGTCATTTATTTTGTAGTATGATCTTGCAAAGTTATCACTATATTAACCTTTTATAAATGCAGAGACTGAGGCAAGTGAAATCACTTGCCCAAGGTCATTAATGTAGCAAATAGCAGAGTCGGGGTCCCTAGGGGTTTGCGACCTTAAACTCTATGCTTACTGCCTCTCTTGGCCCTGAGCTTTGTCACTGCTGTCTCCCCTAGGCTATGAGCTACACTACCTCAGTGTAGCTATGTAGCCTTTGAGAGGCTTCATATGAATTAACCTAGCTTCTGCTTTAAGTGTGAATCATAGCAATATTCTACAAGTTAGCTGCCTTAACGTGTGACCTGATGAGCTGACACTCTAAAACAGAAACTGTAAATAAGCAAACATCTTGATATTTATAAACAGGGAAAGATCACCTACAGCAGAAGCTATTAGACCAGTCTGAATGTGAATACTGGTTCTCTACATTAATGATGGATCAAGGTACAGTATTACAACCCAAACATGGCAGATTAACAAAAACAAATCATTATAAAAGAATTTGATAATAGAATAAAATGTGTATTTTTTGTAATTACAAAAAGAAGGAACAACAAGCTCATTAGAGGTAAACTAATATTAGTTTTTTATAATTTTTTTAGTGGTTAAAATTTAATACAAGGTTTACTTACAAATCTGATAACCTTAAAATAAAGCTCATTCTTTACCGGGACATGTTTGCCCACCCCTCTCCACCCAGGGGACATCTGAGAGTGTCTGGGGACGTTTCTGGTTGGCACAACTCCAGGACAGGGGCGCTACTGGCATCTAGTGGGCAAAAGCCAGGAGCGCTGCTAAATTTCTTCATTGAAAAAATTTGGAGGGTCAGCCCTCCAAAAGAATAACCTGTTTAAAACGCCAGCAACACCGAGCTTTAGAAACCCAGCTACAAAAATAGCACCCAGACCATTAGCATCAAACTTGAAAAATCAAGACAAAGACAACCATTACAGAATTCAGCGTACTCATAAACACCTGGATGAATACAATTCTATTCTGAAAGTTAGGGATAAAACCAACTTGATTTTGGCCTTCATGGTGAGGTTGAACAAACACCACTTGTTTCTTGCCATCATCAGCTTCTTGTTGCTGCACTAGGATGATCCTCTTTCCTAAATTCTTTCTACTCTGTACTTTGACCCTGCTTTCACACTCGAAATTACTTTACTGGAACTTGTCAATAGGGAAACTAAGCTACACATACATAAAATTATTTAAAATTGAATTGATCAATACTGGCATCTCATTTAACAAATGCTACAATGTAAAGATTAGACTATGTTTATGGATTGATGTTTCTTTCTATCCAAATTTCCTCTATCACCATCTGTGAACAAAAGAGCACACTCTAACAGACTTTGTGTGTTTAATTTTAAACCCAGGGCAAATTTTTATGACTGAGTGATAAACCACAAAACTGAAGTTCATATTGGAAGCCTTACACTACTAATTATAATGACACCAGTGGGCATTACCATTTATAAAAGTGTAAAAAAATCAATGAGCAGATTGTCATTATAGAAATTCATTCTGCATCACACATATCACCCAAGAGATTGATTATTTCATGCTTATAAAACTTAACATAAAATTAAATTGCAAATATTTTCTCACAATTTACTAAAATTATGACCTAAGGCCATATACTGCTAATATGAAGCATTTGTTCAGCTCTGGTGGACATATTTCCTATATGATTTATGTGAAAGGAAGCTTCATTTGTTTCTTCATAGATTTGATAATGAGATTTCTTATATCAAGTCTAGAAAGTATAGGAACTTCCTTTAAAATTAAGCTGGCAAACATAACATTGAATTATTAATAAATAATAGTTGAATTAATAAACCAGGTGGAATTCTCATGTGTATATGACTGTGCACTTCAAACATCAACCATTCTTTCACTATCCATATACATACAAAATATCTAAATATTTCATGCAGAAAAAACACTTTCATTCCCTAGGCACAAAATCAGAGTAATAAATTTCAAGTAAAATAGCAGATTGTGATATTTTTTCTCCTGAAATCTAGGAAGATAAAAAATAATTTAAATCATTACTCCTTCTTTCCCTGCCAAAAGTTAGTAGTAACAGAAAAGGAGAGTTATGGGACCACTATTTGGTCATAATCTATTAGGATATGAATAATACTGAGACCATGAGATATAAGACAAAATTAACTTCATTATTATCAACCTAATACATTGTGAGACTCATGTGTAGCACTTTCTAGCCAGTGAAGCATTTGCTTATTAGCATGCTTTTAATAACACATAGACTTCCTCTGGGACTTAAAAATCTATGTATTATGCTGAAATATATTTGGTGACTTAAAAAAGCTTACCAGATTTTATATCAAAGTATAACAGGCAATGCTTACCTTAAGCATTCAGGATCATTTTGTGGCTTTTCACTGGTTTTTAATTTTTCCGCTTCTAAGTATTTGGTAGTACAAATAGCTTCATTTTTTTTATCTTCAAAAACTAAACAATTAAAAAATTACTACCATCTTTTAAAAATTACACACAAAGGGAGGTGGAGAGAACAGTGAGGAGAGGACCCAAAGGTCTGTAGCAGGGACTAGAGGTGCACTGATGACGGGGTGATGTAGTGACACATATCTGAAGAGGTGTGATCCCACACACAGTGTTGTGACCTGATGATATCCCGGTAAAAATAAACTAATAACCAAAAATAAACAAGTCTTTTTAGCATAATAATAACAATACTCTAATTTTTTGTGCCTCATGTAAAATGTTTGAAATAATTGTTTTTACTTTTATATGGCAAATAAAGGCCCCCAAAACACTTATGACAGTACAAATATAAACTGTAACACTGATGAACTCAAATGTTTTACCTATTCCTTTTCTTATATCAACAATAGCACTCCACTCCACTTTGAAACAATACGATGCTATTACATGCATGTAACTGTATTTACTGCCCAAACTGAAACAACTCATAATAAAGGTCGTACCTTTAAGTTTTCCTTGTAGTATAAATAATTCTTGTAGTAATTCACTCTTTTGTTTATGAAATTTATTTAACTGGCTACAATCATGTTCCATTGACTTCATTTCTAGAAGAGATAAACAAAAATATTTTAGGTATTTGGGCTTTGTATTAAATATGTCAATCAGCATATTAAAATACGGGCAATTTTAAGCCCCAAATGGCTTTCTTTGGTCATCTAGGAACTCTTTCTAGTAAACTAATCAAGATGCATTAATCACTAAATGGATACGAAAGAATAAATTTAATTGATGGTCAAACTACCAAAAAATATTTCAAACAATGCAATATCGTCAAATAAAAACAGGCTTCTCGGGGCCCTCCCTGGTGGTGCAGCAGGTTAAAGCACAGCACTAAGAACCTAAAGCCACTTCGGCATGAGTTTGATCCCTACCCCGGAGGAGACCACATGGTGCGGCAGACCTCTCCTGACCCACCCGCTGCTCCCCTCCGCAGTGTACTTCATCAGTCTGCCTGTTCTGCTCCCCACTCTGTCTCTGGTGAAGCCTCTCACCACCCCTGAGCTTCTGGCCTGTTCCCCAGTTCTGGATGCACAAATAAATAAATCTTAAAAAAAAAAAAAACAGGCAAAAGGAAAATATGAAATGCTCTCATAACTAAAGCATGTTCAAAATAGCATTGCAGAGTGTCAGTAGAGAGCCATAGGCTCCCACAATAGTCCTTGTAGCCTTTCTTTTCTCTAAAGGGATGTCTTCCTTTCATTCTCACAACAAACTCATGCATTCTTTAAATTCACCTTTAAAAAAAAAATACCTTTTCTCATCCACTTTTCCTTCTGGGACTCCAATCAGGCAGTTCTATGGGCTGAAGATTTTTGTGCAGGGCAGAGTTCATATGTAAAAGCCTAACCTCTAATGTGATGTTATTTGGAGTGGAGACTTCAGGGAGGTAATTAGTTTGTAAGGATGGAGCCCTCACAGATGGAACTAGTGCCCTTATAATAAGAGACCAAAGCACTTGCTCTCCTTCTTTCTCCTCTCTGCTAATAGAATGCTGTGAATTCCTGTACAGGGAAAAGATGGTCATCTGTACACTAGGGAGCAGGTCCTCCCCAGACACAGCATCTATGGGCATGTTGATCTCTGACTTCCCACCCTCTGGAACTATGAGAAATAAATGTTGTTTCAGCCATCCAGTTTGTGGTACTTGATTGTAACAGTCCAAATATGACCTAGATATATTTATTAGGCTCCTTGCTATCTTCCCATGGGTCTCTGAGGAACTTTTCAGATTTCTGAAGCCTCTTATTTCCCTAGGTTTCAGTTTTTAATATCTCATTTACTGATTTTTTTTTCCCCTGTGGTGCCTGCTCTGCTATATTAATACTTCCAGGAAGTATTTTATACAGATAGTGAATTTCTATCCTACAGAAAATTTTTCTTTTTATAAAACAACTTTTATTGGAATGTAATTCACATACCATAAAATTCACTTTTTAAAGTGGGCTTTAGTATATTTACAGATGAGTGCCTATATTACCACCATAGAATCTGGAACATTTTGTCACCACAAAAGGAGACTCCATGCCCATTACTAGTCAATTTACTTTTCCTGTTCCCCTTGCCCTAGGCAACCTCTAATCTAGTTGCTCTCTATATGTTTTCCTATTTTGGACATTTCACAAAAATAGAATTGTACAATAAACAGTTTTCTATGTCCACCACAAAGTTTTCAAGGTTCATTCATGTGGTAGCATACATTAGAATGCTATTTGTTATGTCTGAATAAGATTGTATAGATGTATTTGTTTTTGCATTCTTCAGTTGATAGACAGTAGGTTTGGTTCTACTTTATGGTTACTATGCATACATTACTATAGCACTCATATATAAAGTTCTTCCATGGACACGTTTGTTGTCTCTTGAAATACCTAGGCGTAGAATTGATGGATTGTAGTAACTCCAATCTGAGCATTTTGAGAAACTGCCACACTGTTTCCTGAAGCAGCTGCATCACCTTATTTTCCTACCAGCAATGTGAGGTTTCCAATTTTTCCAGGCTTCATAATACTCTTCCTGGATACTTTTTATTGGAAGCCAAACAGTGAGTTTTATTGAATGGTTGATTTTTTTCACTACTTTCTCCTTAATCATGTTAATGTTTTTTATTTAACATGAAGTGTTAAATAGCTACTGATGGCTAAAATTCAAAACTTGTTAAGATTTGTTAAGGGATCTAGACTAGTCTTTAACCCAAGAGTAACTCAGTCCTACTATTGGGCAGGACTCTTCTATTTAATGAGAATTCCCATTCTCACAGGGTGGAACATGAATGTTTCAGTCCCGATAAGATTTTAGAATTGTTTACCTTGTCATTCCTCAGCAGTTTGTCTTTACTCCACCTATTGCACTTTTCCCTGTGTTTGAACAGGGTAACATCCACTTTTCCCTGTGTTTGAACAGGGTAACATCCAAAGATTCACAGCAGCCTGAATACAGATTCCTGGAGGCTTTCTCTGTGCACTTCTTTCTTCTCAAGTACATTGTCCTGAAAATTCCTGATTTGGCCTCTTTGAACTCCATCTTTGTGTCCCCAACTACTCAGAATACTTAAGTTCCTCCCCCCACTGTAGCTGTTCAAAAAATGATATCATTTCTCTTCTCTCAAGGATCATAGTCTTGTACCGACTCTTCTCTTCAGAATTAAAAACTAGCTTTTTTGGGGTACATTTTCTTCAATTTTTGTCATCTGCACTGGAAGGGAAAGTGTGGAAAACCACATTTGAAGAGGCATGAACCTGAGGAGCTACCTTGTCCTTCTGGTATGTGAGGATATAGCAAGAAAACAGTCTATGTTCAGGTACCAGACTGTCACTAGACACTGACTGTGTAGCATCTGGATTTTGGATTTTCCACCCTCCAAGACTGAGTTTAAGTACGGGTTTTCTATTCATAAAAAAGATCTACTGGGAAACAAAAAAAAAAAAAGATCTACTGGGATTTTAATAGGAATTGCGTGAACTTTATAGTTCATTATAGATAATACTGTCATCTCAACAATAATAAATTTTCCAATCTATGAACATGGGATGCCTTTATTTTGTCTCCTCTAACTTTTTAGAACAACGTTTTGTAGTTTTTAGTATATAATCTTTTACCTCCGTGGTTAATTTTTATCATAAGTATTTTATTCTTAGGATATAAATATTTAGATATTCTATATGTAATATCATGTCATCTGAAAATAGTGATAATTTCACTTCTTATTTCCCAATTTGGATGCTGTTTGTTTATTTTTCTTGCCTAGCTGATTTGGCTAGAATTCCAATACTATATTAAATGGAAGACATGGTGATACCTACGACATTTTAAAGAAAGCTAATTTCAGAGTACATCCTAAAGTTAATACTTACTTTGCCTTGCATTCTACACTGTGATTAGTAAATAACAACACACATTAATACACTTAGGGAACTAAAAAAAATTGTGATACCAATTTTTACCAACATAAATTCTATTCAAGGGTCTAAGATGAAAATCAAGTATTTAATTTTTTTAAAGTTTTACCTACATGTACACCTACAAGAACCTTGTTCCCATATTCCCTAGCAAAATAATTTTATCTCTGAACCTTTTATTCTTCAGCTACAAAGTAAGTCTAATCAAAAAAATAATCCCATTCATATATCCCAGATTTACCCAACTAAAAATATATGAAATTCAAGCTTTTTGTCCAAAAAAAGCTATTGTTCAGACAAGTTTTTCCACTTCTGTTCTTCTTCCCAGTACCATATTCTGCCCAATCTCCAAAGTTTGAAAACTGTGATTCATCTCTCACTTTCTCTATTTCTGTTCACATTAATCAGTAATAAAGCCCTATATTCACATCTCTAGTTTACCCTTTCTTTCTCTTTGGCAACTTCCTTATTTCAGCATCTTATCAGAGCCTGCAATACCCTGTACCTTGCTGTTCCTGAAATGAAATACTCCCCATCCCTCTGTGTCTCATAATTTTAACTGAAGTTATGGTAAAAATGAGGGTCACATTATAATGTCTATTGTCTTGTAAGCCTGCTTACACGTGTGATTCTGCCACTAGAACTATGTCTGTCACATAATAAGGGGTAAAAAAATATTTTTTATTAAATAAATATTCATGCTTCCCTTATCTCTAAAAAAACTTGAGACTGTCACAATTAAAAAAAAATATCCACTAGGGTAATTAAGAAAAAATAAAATATTAGCTAGGCAGTAATCTAATTTATTTAAGACAAAGCTAACTGGCTGAAAAATTGATAGATTCAAAATAAGCTGTTTTCATTAATGTCAGATAAGTGAGGTGTTACTAAATATCATACCACTTTTCAAAATGTTAGCCTGGATTTCCAAATCAGATATTTCAATCTTGACATTTTCTTTCATTAGAAATTCTCTTTTCTTTATTATTTCATATTCTTTATTGAAGTCTGTAATTTCCTTTGTAAATTTTTCCTCCTCTTCTGTAATTTTTTTCTTTGTGGAATCCTAAAAAAACAAAAACAAGGTCAGTATAGACATTAAATGCAGGAGTAGTTTTCTTCAGTGATTTAAAATGCAGTCATTTGGAATCCTTAGCAACAAAAGTATATTATTTCCCTTCCCAGCACTAGGACAAGATACTTTATTTCTCCAGTAATATTAATAAAAACTTAAGCTCTTACATAATGATCATAATAATAATGATCAACTCTCTTCATATTAAAGAGTTATCCTTAATGTTTTGGAAGAATTATTAATGTAGATATTAATCTATGTTTATAAATTAACATTATAACCCTACATGCTACTTTGCCCTTGCAATATAAAATCAGGTGGTAAAATAATTAAAAAACAAAATTTTAAAATGAAAATAAATTTCTGCTTTGTAGAAAAATAAACAATAAAATTCAGGAAAACTTTAAAATGCAGATCATGAATGTAAAATTACATACTCATTTCATATTCAATTCTAAATAATAGTTTACATTTTATGACATCAACACGGATTAGAAAAAGAATCTCCCAAAACACTGCCAGAACCTAAACTTTCTGAAATCTAAACATTATTGTAGTTCTCTATTTTTTCTAAAAAAATGCCAACTAATTATGAACTGCACTGGAAGATGGCTATGACATTTAAAACCATCAAATCTGTTGACATTATCTAGGTATATAATTTTAACATTTTGAATGTATTTTCTTAGAAATATTAATTAATTACAAGTTTTGTTCCTAACCTAGCCTTGGCATTTAAAACTACCAAGCCTGTTTGATATGGCTTATGATGATGAAAAGATAAGCAAAATGTGTTAGTTCACATCCATGTATATGTCAAAAGTGTAGCCCTCCCTGCCTTTCACCATCATTAAAACCTAAGGTCTCCAAGTCTCAGCAGTTCAAATCAATTTCACTCTTCCTTACATGCTTATTACAGCTGCAAATAATTTCTATATCGCATCACTGCCAATAGAAATCTTTCAAATTATATTACTCTACAAATTGGTTTTAAATAGCACTTAATATTTTTTCCTATCTGAACAAGACTATCTTGCCAATACGCATACAAATAATTTTCTAAAAGTACACCTAAGTACATTTAAATACTTTTGATACAGTGAAATAGATTTTTCTAAGTGGTTGGAGACTTACAAAGGTTTGGAGAAGCATATTTCTTTGGTTTGTAATTTGACTGCACTGTCTTTCTAAGGCATTTTCATGAATTTTCAAAAGTTGTAAGAGGAAGGATTTTTCAGAAAGTTGTTGAACCTTTAATGTGAAAAAACAAATCAGAATGAAACAAATAATATGGAATTTTAGGGTATCACACAGTTAATAGAACAGATATGTATAGTATAGTTTAAGATGCCAAAAATATCACATTCAACATTTTTTTTTTTAAAGATTTATTTATGGCCCTCCCTGGTGGCGCAGCGGGTTAAAGCACAGCACTGAGAATCTAAAGCCGCTTCCTCATGAGTTCGATTCCCGCCTGCCCCGGAGGTGACCACATGGCGTGGCAGACCTCTCCTGACCCGCCCGCTGCTCCCCTCAGCAGTGTATTTCGTTGATCTGCCTGTTCTGCACTCCACTCTGTCTCTGGTGAATTCTCTCACCCTCCACATCTCTGGCCTGTATCCCAGTTCTGTATGCACAAATAAAATAAAATCTTTATAAAAAAAAAAAAAAGATTTATTTATTTGTGCATACAGAACTGGGGTATAGGCCAGAGGTTCAGGAGCGGCGAGAGTCTTCACCAGAGACAGAGTGGGGAATAGAACAGGCAGATCGACGAAGTACACTGCTGAGGGGAGCAGCGGGAGGGTCAGGAGAGGTCTGCCACGCCATGTGGTCCCTTCCGGGGCAGGCGGGAATAGAACTCATGCGAAAGCGGCCTTAGATTCTCAGTACTGTGCTTTAACCTGCTGCGCCACCAGGGAGGGCCCACATTCAACATTTTAAGTTATATGTACTTTGGAAGTACTTTATAATTTTTTAGAATCTCTTCACCTATAAGGGCAGAGAACACATTTTGTTTTTTATTTTCCAATACCTAGCATTACCTTTCCAATTCCAATACCTTTAGCTTGGGTACTAAAGCCTTTTGACAGCACCCATTCAGTTTCGCTTCAAGATAGTATGTTTTAAACCATGTTTCTATTCTTACCACTTTAAGGAACATACGGATGATTAACTCATGCACATGGTATAACTAATAAAATAATGTGATTAGAAGCTACACACAAAAACTAAAGTCAAAAACCCAGTGCTCTCACCAGTTACAGTAACTAAAGCACAAATCTGCTATGTCCTCAAGTAAGAACTTATTTTTAATTTTAGCATCTCATTTGGTTCTAAACTAGCAAAAGATAAAATAAATGGTAATATTAGAAATTGTTATTTCATCTTGATCATAAAGAATCTTCTCAAGCCATGAATGTTAAAATGAGAGTCAGGAAGCTTTAATATAAAAAAACTAAAAATGATGCCACACTGGAAATAATCTTTCCATTACATTCAGTGCTGACCCTCATAAGAAAGCATCACTTCTAGTTTGGGGCTGTTCCCTTCTCCACAGAGAAAAGAAAAAGGAAATAAATTCAACTTAAATTGCTAGAAGGCAAGATTTATGTTCACTATAAGAGCTTCCTCAAGGTGAGAGACAGGTTGTGAAATCTCTGTCCCAGAAGATATTGAATAGTAAAGAGTTTAAGAATAGCCTAGTTCAGAGGCAAAGGGTTGGTGTAAAAGACATTTTGAAATGACATGGCTAAGAAATCCTGGAAATACTGACATTAAAAAAAAAAAGTAGCCAAAATAAAACAGAAAATACGTTACATTTATATCAAATTATTGTGTATCTGCCCACACCTGCAGTACTTGGCTGTTCTCATCAAGTCGATCTTAAGCAACAGAGAAAGATAGAAAGATGCAAATTATATAATCAAAGAAATTCAAAAAATACTTTAAAACTGGGGGGAAGGGGAAAAGGGCTGTCTGTATTTTAATGTCTAAAAGAGAAATTAGAAAAATACATGGTCAGATCTATAAAATCCTCTAGAAATTTGGATTACTGGCAAGCTAGAATATGATTGTGAATTCTATCACATTTAGTATAAGAAAACACTCCAGGGCTCTTACTTATTATATACATTAGAATGAGATGAGTTCCATAGAAGTTAAGAACCTTTACAAAGGTTATATAGTCAATCAGAGGCAAACCTGGGACTAAATCCAGGTCTTCTGACAACCTTTCTTCTAAATCATATTAACATGAAAATATTAGAACTCTTTCAAAGTAACACAGATATATTCCTGGAATTAAAAAAGACTCAGTCTCGGATCACAGTAGAAATGGAAAGTAAGTAAGGTTACAAACAAAAATTCTTAAATATCACTAGGTTCATCTGAACTTACTATATGACAAGGTTGCTTATAGTATATACCCAACTCTCAAAATTAATTGTTATGGATACAAATTCCCACCAAGTGATTTGAAACCAAATTTTGGACTAAATAAATTCTAGTTTAAGCCAATAAGGTAATTCGCATATTATGCCTTTCAGAGATAAAATTCCTAAATTGCTGTTCTGTTTTTGCCACCAATCTACTACAAAAAAATTGGGCGAAACTCCCAAAATGGAGAAATGCTATTTATCTAACTAATGAAGTTTTTAAAGTCTTCAGCAAATGTGCTATTCAAGTACAGAAAAGTCTTACAGAATTAAAAAATTAAGGTGTTCTGTTGCAGCTTTCACCAACTAAGACCTAAATTCCTACTGAGCTCACAACTACTTTTTGAAATATTGGAAGTTATTAGACATACTGGCACCAAGTTGGGATATTCTACCACAATCTGAAGAATGAAATCTAAATGCCCCACTAAAAAGCAGAGAACAGTTCAGGCAATTGTTAAACAGGTACTGCTATAATTTTCCTCTTTCCCTAGAATACTATTTAAGTGATCCTTCTTCAATCTCTTCTTTCTTTTTTTGTTATGCTACTTCCCTTCCCACTGTCTAACTCACAATGTCTTTACCTTCCACTTCCACATCTTCCTCTTCCAATTAAACAAAATAATTCCAGAGAGCCAAAACCTACAAACTTACACTAACATTAATTTTTAAATTCACTTAGGATCTGTGAGGAAAACATTAACACAAAAAAGAATTGGCAAGCAGGGGATAAAACATGATAGAGGATGAGGCAGGAATTTGGGTGAGCTCCAATCAGGAAGGTCAAGGAAGAATCAATGCCTGCAATAAGATAGTGAAATTAGGGTGCAGAACGCACATGGAGTGTAACATTCTAGCAGAGAGACTTCATATAATATGGGACTAAAGGACAATAACTTTTGGATTTGCCCAACTCCTTGCTACCAACTATTGGGTAGGAAGTAAAATAGCTTTTCACAGTTAGGTACCTATTTGCAGAATGCATTTCTCATTGGTCTCCTTGTTCTTTCTATTACCCCAACATGCTTCTTAAATATTCTTATGTTTCAAAACACCTTGGGATGTATAATATTTAAGTAAAATTCCAAATATAGCCCTGAATATTTTGACAAGATCACAAACTGAAATAATTTCACAGGATAAATTAAAGTGAGAATCTCTCTTTTGCTGTGTTAGTGATGGATGGGGACCAGAATTAGGAAGATACTAGAAGAAAAGTGAAACTTGATTAAAAGTATTTGTACAGGTCCCTCCCTGGTGGCGCAGCAGGTTAAAGCACAGCACTGAGAATCTAAAGCCGCTTCTGCATGAGTTCGATTCCCGCCTACCCCGGAGGTGACCACATGGCGTGGCAGACCTCTCCTGACCCGCCCACTGCTCCCCTCAGCAGTGTACTTCATCGATCTGCCTGTTCTGCTCCCCACTCTGTCTCTCGTGAAGCCTCTCACAGCCCCTGAGCCTCTGGCCTGCACCCCAGTTCTGTATGCACAAATAAATAAATCTTAAAAAAAAAAAGTATTTGTACATATCTCTTTGTCAGGTTTGAACTGAAGCACTATCATATCCATGGTAGTTTGAACATCTTATAAATATTACTGAAGAAACTATAATCTCCTACATTACCCAGGATACAAACAATAAAAAAAGGGGTGGAAAGTTTCCCACAGGCGTAATACAAATTTCTCTTTCTCATTTCTCTTGTTCCTCTGACTAAAAAATGAAAAAATATTTGCATGCAGGCTCTTAAAAGTTACAATCCAGAATCAAACACCAAGCTTTGTCAGAAAATGCTGCTGTTTGGAAACTTTTAACTTACAGCAGTGCCAACAGTCTGCTTAATCTGCTTCTCTCAGCAATAAAGATTCTTTTTTCCCTTCCCTGTTTTATTCTTCTTTGGGATATTTGATTTTCAACAGAGCTTATAGTAAACAGTCTTAGTGGTCAACTTGGTCAGTTTCAGCATAGTCATTATTTGTGACTACTACTCCTACTGCCTGTGTGTTTGTAGTAAGTTCTTTACTGGAAAAACCTGAAAATTGAAAGTGACTAAGGGTTTGAAATTAATATTTAGGTCCAAGTAAGCAATGCACAAAGTTCCTCTTTGTTGAGGTTGCTGTTGTTTAAAATAACCTCAGTTATTTGATTAAAAATGATTAAAAATGATCTGCTAATAGTGTAGTAACTTTACTAAGAAAACAGAATTGTACAGATGTCACATGCACAAGGTACAATGAATGGGGGAAAGAATGTGTTTGTTATGACTGTAATAAAAGGTATTTTAAACATAAAAGCCTATCAAGGAGTCAACTGTATCAACAGCAGATATTTAGGTTTTAAGAAACATAATCTTTCTTTCATAAATACATTTCTCATCCACAAATGCAGTGATAAAATGAACTTAATACAGAAAGCCAGGAAGGTTCAACACAGGGCACATTTGTTAGATTCACATGTTTTCAAGGATTTATATGACCTGCACCCCTTTATCCCTCTTGATGTTACATTCTATCAATCTCTTCTTCAACCACCCCTCACCAGCTTGGTTATTGCTCAGACCTATCTGGCACACTGCACCCAAAAGGCCCTTGCATTGGCTATTCTCTACCCCATATCCTATTCAGAAAAGCAAAAAGAAAATAAGTAGCAAATATTTGAAACCTATAGGAAATGTCCTGTAATGAGGAACATAAAACACAAATAGAAAGATATGCTGGGTTCTAAAACATGAAGATTAAATTGTAAAAACATCAATTCCTCCCAAATTACCACATGAATTTAGTAATTAAAATACCAATCTATTTGTTTTACTATATT